AAATGCAGATTAAAGTAATTTTGAGGATTCTACCTCAGACTGGCCAAGATGAGGGAATGAAAATGTCAAAAGTTATAGGAGTTACAGGACAACAGTTATACTAGTACATTGTTGGTGAAGTTGTGAATTGGTCCAGCTATTCTGGAAAGTTGTTCGGAATGACACCCTGAAAGTTACCAAAAAAAAATGTGCATATTCTTTCACCCACTGAATCACTAAAAGAGATAAAAGAAAGAAGAAAAGGAGCCATATGTACAAATAACACTTACAGAAGCTCTATTTAGTGTATCCTCAAACTCGAAATTAAGGCTCCTATTGGGGAAGTGGCTAAACAAATTGTGGTATATGAATGTAATGGGATTTTATCGTGCCACAAGAAATGAATACACAATTTCAGAGGAACTGGGGAAGAACTTTATCAACTGATGCAGAGCAAAGACAGCAGAATTGGGAAGATAATTTATTCAATGAGGACATTATAGAGAAATACAACTTTGAAAGACTAAGAACTCTGATCAACAATAATAAGCTACCAATACAAAAGGATGAAGATAAAATATGCCACTCACTTCCTGATAGAGAAGTGATAAACTTAAAATGCAAAAAGAGACATACATTTTCAGACATGGCTAATGTGCAAATTTATTGTGCCAGACTAGGTAGCTATAGTGAGGGATTTATTTGGGGGATTTAAATATATGTGTGTGTGTGTGTGTATATACATATCTCTGTATATAAATATATATATATTTAATGGGGGCAGTAGGGTTAGTAGGAGGGACATATTTACTTGGGAAAAAAATAAAACCTGTTAAAGACAAAAAAAAGAAAGAAAGAATGAAAGAGAGATCAGAGAGATACATAACTTTCTACTGAGCTGAGTCAGCAGTTTCATGATTTCATTTAGCTCTGTTTATCATATGTAGTATGTAGATAGGAACAACCCAGGAACAACGAAGGTGAGTAGCAGGAATAATTCAGGTTTAGCACTTGGCAAGGAGTGATAAATGACAGGACAAGGAAGCAAAGGCCAGCATATCAAGGCACCAAGATAAGGAAGAGAAGAAAATGTAGTCAGTGTAAGGATGATGGCCTGGGAGAGAAGTGAGGGGTGGAAGGAATGGAGGTCAGGGAAAAGGGTTAAGGGGCATAAGGCATAAGGAAAAATGACATGATAAAAAGATCATGATCAGATATGGAAATTTTGGAGTTAAGTGAGTGATCAAGGTCAAGGGTGTGACCATCTCTGAGTGTAGTTGAGGTGGTGTAGAGAAGTAGGTCATGGGATCTGAGAAGCCTGAAGCACAGGGAAGGGTGAGTACTGAAGTCTCCTAGCATGAGGGCAAGAGACGGAGAGAAGAGAAAAGACTCTTCCTTCCAAGAGGGTTCTGCACTGGACATTCCCTGGAAGAGCAGCAAGGGCCTTAGGTGAGCATATTTCCCATCTGAAATGGTAACTGGAGGGTCACAGACCAAAATTATCTTTGCTGTTTCTTCCTTCAATGAATCGTACACAATTTTGACATTAACACGAGTACAGAGCTCATTAGAGGCAGCAGATTTGCTCTCTCAAATCATATACTTTTTAAAAACCATCCACAAATGATAAAGATCCTGGGATCTTACATTCTCTATACCTTTCAGTCAATTGTGTGACTACAGAAATGTGATCTGCTATAGAATATCATTTATAAAAACCTGCCTGTTTCCTTCTTAAACCTTCATCGGTATGGATGGAATACTCTTATCAAGATTTCTGTAGGGATGGGAAAAAGTCATAATTTTTAATTTGCCTTTTTTCCCAGTAATAATACGGTCTGCATTTTTTCCTGGTATTTGGTGTCCTCTCTCCTTCCAGATGCCCCTCAAAATCATGTCATTTCCTGTGTCGACCTCATCTTTGTATACTTTGTTTAGTGACTGTTTATTCCAGCTTTGTTTTCTCTGGTGCCATTTCGACTTCCTTTTATAATTAGTGCCACAGACTGACTCTGAGTTCAAATGCAATGGCTCCATGGCCAGATTAAAAAAAGTTTGTTATGTAAATCTTTACAGAGCTTTTCAATTATTGGTCTATCTCATTTTCCATCCAGTTTCATCCTTAAATGCCCTTGGGATAATCTGGCTTAGTGTTGGGTCTTTGTTCCACATTTTGTAAAATTTTTTTCTTTCTATTGCTTCTCAACATTTTAAGAAGTATTACTTCCTATAATCTTCTGCCATTGCCACGATATTATTGGTGTTCACCATATATTACAGCTCCAGGGTTGGGGAACTTGCAACCTCGAGGGCAGCCCCTTTGACTGGATCCAAACTTCACAGAATAAATCCAAAGGATGTGACCTTACACCCCTGTAACTACACTTTGAAGAAAGCATTCATGAAATCCCACTAGAAGGCAAATACCACAAAAGAAGCCAAGCAAAGAAAGAAATGTGCCACATTTGCCAAAATATTCATAGCACCACTTTTTGTGGTGGCAAAAAAACTGGAAACAACTGGTGGCCATCAAATGGAGGCTGATTGAACTGTGGTATGTGAATGTCAAGAAATACTACTGAAGTATAAGAAATGACAAACGTGAAAATCAGAGAAGCAGGGAAAGACCTGTATGAATTAATGCAGAGTAAAGTAAGCAGAACCAGGAAAACAGTAGACACGTCTAGGAAAAAAACAGCAAACGAAAAGAACAATAAAATAAGTCCAAATGTTATGTGATTATAACGATCAGTCTTGGGTCCAGAGAAGAGATGATGAAATAACACCTCTTCTTCTCTCTGTTTGACTGGTAGGAGGAAATGTATGTGGAATTTTAAAAATACCATCAGATGTGGTCCCAAGTTGGTGTTAACTGTTTTTGTTCGTTTGTTTGTTTGTTTGTTTGTTTGTTTTGTTACAGAAGAAGACTCTTTGGGAATAAGGGAAAAGGAGAATGGAATAAGCATTTCTGTGCTCATTAGCATGTGCCAGGCACTGTGCTAAGTGCTTTACAAATATCTCATTTGATCCTCACAACAACCCTGGCAGACAGGTGGTGTTATCACCCCCATTTTACAGTTGAGGAAACTGAGGCAGGCAGAGGGTAAGTGACTTGCCCAGGGTCACCCAGCTTCTCAGTGTCTGAGATCAGATGTGAATTCAGGTCTTACTGACTCCAGGCACAGTGTTCTATCCGCTGCACCATTATCTGCCTAAGGAGCGGAGGTACATACACATGGAAGCAACTTTAAAATCAAAAGCTACCAATAATTCTTTTTGAAAAGAAAAAAAAAAGGGCATTTTAGTGTGAGGCTTCTGTGTATGGCCTTTCATTTTTCATCTTTAATCATGTTCTCCCAAATATGTTTCACCGTCCCCTGCTCTGCACACCTCTCCTCTAAAGCCCCTGACTGTTGATTGCCTTGGAGGGGCTTTCTAAGTTCTCCTTAGAATGTACTCTCTTCCCCAGCCTGCGCCTCTGATGCTGCAGCACAACTGGCTTTCACTGCTAGCCCCATATCAAAGGCTCTTATGCACCAAAGGTTTACCTGCCCTTTGAGGCTTCTTGTCGCCTTTGGATACACTCTGCCAGCTGCTGCCCCCGCGCCCAGCTCCAATCCCATTTGTCGTCCAGTCTCACTGACAGTAAGCAGGTGAGGACCGGCTGGGCTCCTTTCTTCCAGGAGCACGCCCTCTCCCTCACTGGTCACGGGACAAGGGGCTCGTGTTTCAAACCAGCCCCAGCCAAGTGAATGATGACAGACAATCTACCACGGGGACTCTGTCTTCTGCCTTTTCCGCCGCTGTCACCGACAGCAGAAGCCAAGGAGGACCTGACAGGGCACAGGGCTCCCGGGCATTTTCCCAGCAGACTGTGAGCTCCACCAGGGTCTCCTCTGGCCTCCGTATCTCCCCCAGCACCCAGCTTTAGACAAGGAAGAAGACTACATGGCTATGATCAATGGGAGCTCAGAAACAGTCCTGAGAACAGGCACAGCATCTTCCTATTCAAAGGCCCAACACTCCACATCAGTAACATCTGGAGGGGCCTCAGAGGCCAAACACCCTTAAGCGTTAACAACACTTCTGTTTACAGGACTGTGTCTCAGAGAAGTCACACTGCAGGAGGCCTCTGCTCTCCACCAAAAACCCCCCTGAACCCTCAAGCTGGATGTTCTGGTCCACTCCTGGAAACTTGGTGGTGAGTGCCCCCTGGTGGCATGCTGTGGGGCCTGAACCACACCAATTCCCTTGACTCTGCGTAAGGCCTCCTCTCCCAAAGACAGACCGTGATGTTGTTACTAGGATCGAGGCCCATGCTCTCACCTCCTCCCAAAAGAACGGGGAGTCAAGCATCCACTGTCCCTCACAAGTTCTCTGCTCCAGCCAAACCAGAGCAGAACTCACTCCCTTGCCTCCCCCTGCTCTCCAGCCCACTGCCCTGCTCCAGAACATACTTTCCCATTCTCCCACATTGACATGGCCTCCCCATCTTCTCAACAAATCCAGTCCCCCTTCAATCCCCAATTCACATCCTACTACCTCCACCAGGAAGTCTTCTCTGATTCTTCCATCTCCCAACCATTCATTCCTCTCTCCTCTGAATAATCTGTCCCAAGATGTTTAACCCCCAAAATGAATTCTCTCTCACTATTCTACATACTTGTGGGCTAATTCCCCACAATGCCAACTGTGTCTGTCCTGAAGGAAGGCGAATTCCTTTTACCATGAGCCAAAGGAAAACATAATTCAGAAAGACAGCCTTCTGCCCACCCAGGAACATTAACAGTGGGACCCCCCCTGGATAGCTGTACCATACACGGCTTCCCTCCATCAGTGGGCATGGAAAGGGGCTTGACAGGCACCGAGGACAGAACAAAGAGCTAAGCTGTGACCGATGTTTTCTCTTACAGATAATATTCCAGCTTCCAAGTTCATTACTATAAAGTTTTGTTGACTTGATGTTATTTTCATCTGGAAAACTTTTTTTTTTTAATCAAACTTAACTTCTTTTAACTTACCCAAGGGAGTGACTTTAATCTCTGGCATCTTGAGTGAACAAGTTCTCAGTACGTCATCAGGCTAGATCCGGGACACCATAGAGCAGTGCCCACAAAGCACGGGTCCTTTGAGATCACACAGGTATCGTTTGTCAGGATGTCCTAACTTCTAAAAGGAAAAGGGTCCAACACAGAAGCCTGTAATTTTTTACAATAACTATGAAGCAGGAGCTGAAACAGAGACATCCCCCACCCCCCCCCCCACAAAAAAGCAAACAAACAAAAAAAAACTGGGCAAGGTTTCCTCAGCTCTGGTTATTAGCTCTATGCCAAAGCAGTCTGAAATACTGGTGGTCTAAGTCTTACCCTACTAACACAACAATATACTAGAGGTCTCTGGAAGGTAAAGCATGCTAGGAAACCCTGGTGATGATGCCACTACCACTATCTTAATCTGGACTTGGGTCAGGAGACCTGAGTTCTAGATCCTAAATCACATGACCTCACTTTCTTCATCTGTAAAATAGGGATAATCAAAATTGTACTGCCCAGCTACCTCAGAGGATTTACAGATGGAAGGAACCTTGGAAATCATCTAGTCCACACCCCTTTATTTTAGAGAAGGGAAAATTAAGGGCCATGGGAGTTAAATAACTCACCCATAGCCACACAGATAATCCAGTAGTAGAGCACAAGTCTTCTGAATATGGTATGGGCTGGACCAGATCCCTTTTGAGGACCCTGCCAACTCTTTGAGCTTACTTCCAAATCCAGTTTTCTTCCCAGTACATCACACTGCCTCTTTACAAGGTTGTTGTACAAAAAGCATCACTGTAGCAGAGAGTTAGGGCTACAGGAAATAAGAACTACTACTAGTAGTTAAGGGTGTTCTGCCTCCAAAAACGATTTAAAAAAAAATTTAATAGCCATCTTTTGAATTGCAGCCTAGCTGCTCCTTCCAGGCTGTGTGGCTTAGGAGTGTCAGCTGCAGAAGCCACTTACTTCTCGTAAGAGATTCGATAAATCATACATAAAGCAATGTGTTATCATAAAAAGAGCACAGGATTTGGAGCCAAGGGGTCCAGGTTCGAATCTTGGCTCTGCTACTTAGTACTTGTGTGACTCTAGGTAAGTCATTCTCTGAGCCAGGAGATGGGTCTCTAGTCCCTGCTCTGACCCCTGACTCGCTGACCTTGAGCAAGGTCCACAACCTCTCGGGGACTCAGTTTCCTCACTTGTTAAGTGGGGGAGGAAGAGAAAGATGAACGAGAACAAGGTCCCTTCTAGCCCTAAGGTCTACGGTCCCAGCATGGCGTCTCCCTGGGCTCCCCTGCATCTCCACATTGTGAGCCAAGGCTCTGCCGGGAGACCCCCAAGGCCGACCCCGGGCTCTCCAGCAAGGACGCCCCTCCCCCTTTCCCCCCTCTTCGGAGTAGCTGCTCGCCCGGGGTGACGTCACTCGCCCGCATCCCAGCGGGCCAGTCTGGATGGCGCTCGTGGCCGCCCACCCCAGGAAGGCTGACCCTGAGCAGGGGAGCGGTGGGAGAGGCGGGCAGGTCGGAGAGGGAGACTTCCAGGCTCCGTGGGAAATCGGCCGGCCCTCCTCTCCCCACCCCCGCGGTGAAGGCCCCCAGTGTTTCCCTCTCCCCACCTCAGCCCTCCACGAGCCAAGCCGCACAGGCTTCCGTACTCACAGCGAGTCCCAAAGCACCGCGCCTGCGCGAGGGGCGGAGACAGCGGCAAAGAGTCGAAACCGTCGCGCAGGCGCAAATCCAGCCTATGAGCCGGCCTCCCTGAGCCCTGGACCTGCCCTCCTGGACCGGGGCTCTCTGCTGGCTCTCCATTGGATTCTGTCCCAGTCAATCAAGCTGGGGCGGGGACTTGGGAACGGATCTTGGCGATGATTGGAGAAGATTGAGGACAGGCCCCCAAGAACATGCAGTCTTGCGGAAACGTCAGGTGAGTAAGGTGCAGGTGAGGCCGGGGAGATGGGCCTGGGGCGGGGCCTGCTCTGGGATGCCCGGGGTCGGGGAGCTGTAGGCGGGTGTTAGGGGTGCTGGGGAGAGACCCTGGCCTTTGACTAGACCAAGAGCCCCGGGTGTGGGGGTCAAAGGTCACGAGTCCCCGCCCTCAGCTCCCCCAGCGCTGAGGGGGAAGGGGCCCTGGGCCCCGAGTCACGGTCCCGGGTATCCGGGGCTCCGGTCCCTGCCCTGACCACCCCGTGCTTGACTCGCTGCCTTCTCTGGGCCTCAGTTTCCTCATTTGTCAGAGCGTGTGGGACTAGATGGACTCCTTCTCAACCTCCCGATCCTCTTTTATCCTGACTTTGAAATCGAGGGGCTTAGTAAACTTTAACATCTTGAGAACTGCATTTATGTTGTACTTGTGCTGAATGTGTATTTTTATATATAGTGTATATAGATATATATTATGTTTATAAATATATATAATACATACTCTAAATATATAATATAAATATAACATATAATATAAATAAATACGTATAAATATTTATGTTTATATACATGTATGGTTTCTTCTGTAATGTAGGTGTTTTATGCACCTGAACAGGGCGAAGGGGTCCCGGCCTGACATTCTGCAACTCTTGTGTTTTCTTTTCAAGGATGTGACTTTAGGACCTGAAGGCAGTGACAGAAGAACCAGGAGTAAGACCCTGGGATCCCCTCCCTTTTGACCTTCCCCATCTGACCCTGTTATGTATGGCACTGCTGTATCACTGTGGTTGGGTCTGCTTCCTTCCATGCAGGGGACAGAGGGAACTTCTCTGGCTTGCTCTGTGCTGAGTCAGACTCTGCTGCTCTGAAATTTATTTCTGCTTGTGGTAAGTGTTCAATAGACATGCTAAATGAAGTGGAATGGGAACTGGGGGCCAGCATATTTACAATCGAACCCTGGACCACTGCTCTCTAAGAGCCTCTGTTTCTTGGGCTGTTCTTACACCCTTCCTCCCCGCTGTCTTCCTTCTTTCTGCTCTGTTCCTCATCCCTGACCTTGAAGCTCTGACAAATGGTTTACAGCAAGTGTAAACATAGCAAAGTACTAGTGATATCCGGTGGGCCTATCGGCCTTACCTTTCAGAAGCTGAGCCAGGCCCGTCCATCCTCAGCTGTTCAGCCTGCTCAAAACCATTTAGTTTCCTCTTTTCTCAGTATTACATAGGAGACCGTGGAGCCAAAGATCATTAAAAAGTCCAACAGCATTTTCCTGCTTGCTGCTGTTTTCATTCTCAGTCATAAGAAAGCATGAGGCTATTTAAACAATAAATTGATCTGTCATTGACTGATAGACCATCTGAGGTGGAAGAGGCTTTAGATAATAGAATGTCAGAGTTGGAAGGGACCTTGTGGATCATCCTATCCAGCCCTTTCATTTTCCAAATAAAGGAACTGAGATGCAGAGTCAACGACCAAGAGGGAATGAGGTGTCCTAATTCCCAGAATCATGATCTTCCATTGGCCACCCTCAGTCATCTTCGAGTCTTGGGATCCTCAACTCTTCGATCCCCGTTCCTAAATCTATTCCCATCCCCCCTTGTTGATTTTGATCATGCTGGCAGCCATTGAGGGTCATGCTGAATGCCAAGTCTGTGTTCTGGACCATGCTGGGTGCACAGGGAGACACAAAAGCATAAGATGTGATCTTCCTTTAAAGAGCCCGTGGTCTGGGGACATAGGTGCCACCCACAGCTAACAACCTAGAGCACTGCAAACAGATCTTAGATCTGTGGGAGGCTTATAGCTGTAACATGAAGGGTAGCCTCCCTCCTCTCCTTCCTGCCTTTTCTCATCTGAATAATTTCTGTTCTGTCTCCTGCTCTGCCTGGGAGGTTGGGCTTGGGTCCAGGATGGAAAGATGGGGCTACCAAAGAATCCAGTGTACCCGGGAGACTCCAGGGCAGGGCCCGTCTTCCGGGTTGGCCTCTCCCGTCTCAGACTTGTCCAGTCACTGACTCCTGGCAGGTTTGTAGACTCAGTGAGCCAGCTGTGTTTACCAAGGTCTCTTGGGAGCCCCACTCTGCTTTGATAGGCCACTTCTAGCCTGCAGCAACTTGGGTGAATAGGAGCCAGTGTTGAGAAAGACGCCTCGTTACATCAGGTCTGCCATTCCAACCAGTCCTCCGACGCAGACACACGCGCCCTGATTGTTCGGGGACCTTCTGTGTGTTTCAGGTTGTGGCGGACCATGGCTGATGAGCAGGCCGAATTTAACCTGAAGTTAGTGCTGGTCAGTTTCAAGCAATGTCTCAACGAGAAGGAGGAGGTCCTCATGGACCCTTACATCACTGGCTGGAAAGGGCTTGTCAGGTGAGAGTGCCGGGGCCATGCTGTGGATCCCAAGGGCTTTGGCCAGAGTGCCGGGGAGAGGGGCAGCTAGGTGGCACAGTGGATAGAGCACCGGCCCTGAAGGCAGGAGGACCTGAGTTCAAATCTGGCCTCAGACACATAACACTTACTAGCTGTGTGACCCTGGGCAAGTCACTTAACCCCAATTGCAAAAAAAACAAAAAAAACCTGTTAAATTTCAAAACAAAACAAAAAACGAAAGGGACAGCTGGGTGGTGCAGTGGATAGAGCACCAGCCCTGAAGGCAGGAGGACCTGAGTTCAAATCCGGCCTCAGACCAAGCACTTGACACTTATTAGCTGTGTGACCCTGGGCAAGTCACTTAACCCCAATTGCCTAAAAATTAAAAAAAAACTGTTAAATTTCAAAACAAAACAAAAAACAAAAGGGGCAGCTAGGTGGCGCAGTAGATAGAGCACCGGCCCTGAAGGCAACAGGACCTGAGTTCAAATCTGGCCTCAGACCAAACACTTGACACTTACTAGCTGTGTGACCCTGGGCAAGTCACTTAACCCCACTGCCTAACCAAAAACAAAACAAAACAGAGTGCCAGGGAGAGCTCACACTGGTGGGAGCTCCTAGATGGCACTTCAGGCCTGGAATCAGGAAGACTTGAGTTCAAATCCAGCCTCAGACTCTTAGTGTGGCCGTGTGGCCGTGGGCAACTCTGTTTGCCTCTGTTTCCTCATCTGTAAAATGGGCATAGTAATAGCACCTACCTCCCAGGGTTGTTGGGATGATCAGTGCAGTGCCTGGCACAGAGTGTTATATAAATGTGAGCTATCATTATCATCATTATTATTATTCTCCCTTTTGTGTGAGTGAAGAGGAGAGTGCAAATGAATGTCCAACAACTTGTGGGAGGCTGGGCTGTGCCTGAGTGTCAGACACCATGTATGGGAAGAGAATTGTGTGAGGAGGCATCTAGGATAAGGGTGTGAGGGGTCAATCAGCGCGTGATGGGGTGGGCACAGGGCCGCACAGAGTGGAGCAGGCTTTGCTAGACAGCAGTTTCACCTTCCATAAGTCCACATTCCTTACAAGCATTTTACAGGCACCAGTGACTGGATTCTCCCATTGGCCCCTCGGGTCTACATGATATTGGAAAGTCAGACATGTCCCCCTGGCATGAGACCTTGGCCATGTCCTGATTTTTTGACAAAAATGCTGTGGATTCCGCATCTTGGCCACGGAGAGACATTCCTGGCTGGCCCTCAGCCAGGTTATTACTTGAAATCCTGCCTGCGACTGGACTGAGCAGCAGCTGATAGCCCAGTAGCAGCAGCGTTAATGGCCAGCTGGCTCCCCTGGTAGAGGCTTGAAGCAGGAGATGCCCTCCTGGCACATTAGCCACCTGGGGGATACGGTTGGGGCACCAAGGGTTGGTACAGGATCTGCACTGAGGAGATGTCACCCTGTTATCCCAGCGATACCCTCTTTGGCCACCAGAGCTATACCTGGCCCTCTCTGCAGTCGCTGGGAAAGGGAAGCAGCTGCATGGTGGCTATGCTCTTTTGATTATGCAAGTAGCATTTTACTGGAGAACTTAGGCCTTCCCATTATTAGTGGTGGTGACCCTCCCCCTGAGAACCAGAATGCCGGCTTCACTTCAGTCCACACCCTCCCTGATTGCTTCAGCTGATTCATGTTTCTGTCGCAATCTGCCCTGGGGAAATTCCCCTGGGATCAGACCTTTGGCCTCATTACTCCCACCAGGCCAGGATGTGGCATCTTTCCCCAGAGGGCGGAGCTGGGGCCCCCTTTCAGAGAATGGCCGCGGCAGGCTCCCCCCGCCCAATGACACTTTGTTTGGTCTTGAAAATGTAGGTTCCTGAACAAGCTCGGCACTATCTTCTCCTTCATCTCAAAGGACGTAATGACCAAAATCCAGATCATGGAGAGGTTCCGCAGCAGTGACCAGAAGGAAAATTACTCCAGCCTTCAGGGCATGGTGCAATACGAGATGGACAACAAACTGGTGGACTTCCAGAAGCGCTCTGACCACGCCGACTCTGGCTGCCGCACTATCCTCCGCCTGCACAGGGCCCTGCACTGGCTGCAGATGTTCCTGGAGGGGCTCCGGACTAGCCAGGAGGACTGCAAGACCTCAGTCCTCTGCACGGACTCCTACAACAGCACCCTGGCCTCCTACCACCCCTGGATCATCCGGAAAGCCGTCACCATGGCCTTCTGCACGCTGCCCAGCCGCAGCGCCTTCCTAGAGACCATGAATGTGGGCACCCCCGAGGAGGCTGTGGAGATGCTCAATGAAGCCATGCCCTTCATCTGCCAGGTCTACCAGGTCACCCAAAAACTCTTTGAGGAACATACCCTGCTGGACCTTCCGTAGCTGCCAGGAGGCTGGGACCCAAGGTGACGCTCCTACCTTAGATACCAGCTAGAGAAGATGCAACCAGACCTGTCATCCAGCACTTCCTGATGCTTCAGGCCCCACTCAGAGCTCCCTTGGCTTCTTCCCCCATCTTCCACCAAGTTTGGACTTGGTTGTCACTTACTTGGCTGGGAATAGGTATTTAGAGGGCCACGCGGCTCTGCAGGGAGCACCAGAGAATCATTGACGATCCTTGGAAACCAGAGGGCCACATTTACATCTTGAGGGTTGCTGGTTTCAGCTTCTCCTGACCTGCCTACTGTCTGAAGTGTCAGAAATAATCTTAAGTAAAATCATGTTACCTCCGGGGAAGTCAGACAACTCTGCCCTGAACTCTACCCTTACTCTGAACAGCTCACTCTCCTAATCAAAAGCAGAAAGAAAAAAACTTGGTATCGTTTTTTAAAAAACTTTTTATTTTGAATCATATTGCAGTGCTCAGGCTGCAAACATAAGAAATATGTATGATTACACGTCGACCTATTCTGATTCCAACTCCTTTCCCCCCTGCCAGAAGAAGCATTTTCATATTTAAATGGGGAGTCGGGCATAAGAGAAGAGGCTGTCTTCTAGTCAAATCCGGGGATCTGTCATTTTAATTTCTGACTACTTTGTCAACCTTGTCTCTGAAAATGTTCTTTAGTGAAATGTAAAACCACAGGGTCATCACTTATCTCAGGGGCAAAGTAATTTATTTCCTTTTCCAGCCTCTTGTAAGGAAATCATTTCCATGTATCCATCTAGTTCAGCTAGCAAAGGTTACCACCTCCTGCTCATGGGTCTCTAGCAAGGGAAGCCACCACCTACACGGGATTTCCCCCTGGGGCTTTTAAAGAGTTTGTTTGTTTTTAAACCAAAGTGCCGGGTGTGTATCTCTGGTGTCTCACCAAAGACAGTGTTGCCTTCTATACCCTTGCCAGTGTTTTGCTCCGTGGGTGCCGGGGTCCTGTTCAGCTACTGTGAGTAATAACAGACCAGCTAAAATCAGGCAATGGTTCCATCAGCTGAAGAGACCAGGTCAGGGGGCGTGGCCTTCGCCATGCACATGATATTGGAAAGTCAGACATGTCCCCCTGGCATGAGACCTTGGCCATCTCCTGATTTTTTGACAAAAATGCTGTGGATTCTGCATCTTGGCCACGGAGAGACATTCCTGACTGGCCCTCAGCCAGTTTGTTACTTGAAATCCTGCCTGCGACTGGACTGAGCAGCAGCTGATAGCCCAGAAGCAGCAGCGTTAATGGCCAGCTGGCTCCCCTGGTAGAGGCTTAAAGCAGGAGATGCCGACTGGGCTCTTCTCTTTTGAGGGGTCATCCTTAAGAAAAATCCCTCAGCGAAACACCTATTCCTATGCGGTTCTCCCCAAGATTGCCTCCTCCCGGTGATCACATTCCCCAAGAGGAGGTTTCCTCTGGAAAACACGTAATGGTTACCCCTGAGCCTATGACCTTCCTGGGACCACAACACCCCCCCCCCACAACAACAATGAGTGTCTTCTGAAAGGTGAGAGAAATGGGCAACCTCCCATTCTTAGAGACATTTGAAAATGCTGCTTGAAAGGGGCATGTGCTGCTCTAAGCAAACCCCCCAGAAAGGCCCAAGGGCCACGTTTCCCACCTTGGCTTTCAAACAGGGCTTCATTTGACTTGTGGCTTCTGTAGTGGGCCCTTAGCTTATGCAGTAAGACTCCCAGGACTGCTGCTTGACCTGGTGTTTGGAATATGGGGTAGAGTAGCTGGGGTACAGTAGCCATCTTTCCCTCATCTTGCATGGCTCTCCAGTCTTACTTCTCCATCTTTGCCCCATCTGGCCTCCCCCGGCTGCTCTCCTTTCCTCTATTACCTACAGGGTTTCCAGCAGATAAACCGGCTTCCGTCCTCTGACCCTGCCTTTTGGAGGGGGTGGCAGCAGCCCTGGGCAGAGAGGGAGGGGCCTTTGTGTGAGCTGTTTCCTGAGAGCTGGGGAGTTGGGAGAAGGTGATGCTATCCTCCTGTGCCCCAATTCCCTCCCTCTCCCCAGAAATTGAAATGTTAGGCCTCCTGTTATGATGGTGAGGAGGGGGATTATAAGAGGGGCCTCCCCTGCCCCTGTTGCCCAAGTGGTATTAGATTTGATGGTATGGACCAGGTGATCTGAGGCTGGTCAGATCTTGAAGTCTGTGACCTGCACTACAGCTTGGGGTGAGGGAGGTGAAGGACAGGACTTTGGGGGTTGCCCTGGGTATCACTCCCCTTTGTCTTCTATTGCTGATGACTCCACATTTCCTGGGAGATGCACTTTCTACGAATCTGCCCCTTTCTGTGACATGTATACAGCAGAACTGTGTAGCTTCATTCCTTGGGGGGAGAAATCATAATATATTTGATTATTTTTGCATTTAAAATAAATCATGCTTGGTGAATAGTAGTGTACTGAGTGTTTGAACCTGTAGGAGAGCTGTTTGCTGTGGGCCAATCAGGTCAGCAAGGCTCTGGGAGGCCTTCGAGACCCTCCCTCCCATACCCTCAAAGACTCTCCACTAGAGGGCGGCAGATAACAGGGAATAGAGCAGTGATTGCCTTCTGGGACC